GGCGAAGGGCGGGCGGCTCAGTCTCGGGAGCCTTGAGACGGGGGTCAATGCAAACGGGGGTCAGCGGGAGCGCCCGGTCTTGCAGGATCCTGCAGGGCCAGGGTCGCATTGACCCGGGCTTGGGAGTAGGATCATGCAGGATCTGGCAGGATCCTTCGCATTGACCCGGGTTTGGGTGCAGGGTCTTGCAGGATTCTGCAAGGCCTGACTGACCCAGGTCTGGATTGACCCGGGTCAGATGATCGCCGACAGTCCAAGCAGCTCAGGCCCACGAGGCATCGAGGCATGCATCCTCGGGGGCGGCAAAGAGAGAGGGGGGTGATGACTCGGGAGGGGTGGATATCATGGCTGGGGCCATGATAGTTCCTCAGATTTTATGGTGCCTGTTCTTTCTTCATTACGTCCCTGGCCCCCCCGCTGGGCCGCGCACGTGCCGCCGGCCATGATTTGTACCCCCCCCTCTTGGACCCCCCCCTCTTGGCAGCTCCCGACATCCACTGGATTGAGACGTAGCCACGCCTGGTCACCTGTCGGCTCCGTGGTGCCGAAGGCCACAGCGCGGGGCGGCCCCAGGGCGATCGGGATCGGCATCCTCTATGACGACAGCACCCGCACCGCGGGCCCTCGGAGGCGAGGGCAGCCAGGGGCGCTGCAGGGCGCTGGGGGGCGGACGAACGAGTATCATCCACGAAAGCGAGAGCGCAACGGATTCAAGGCCTGTCGGCACACGCGAGCAGCCGTGGAGGCAGCCCCCCCCTCTTCAGGGTTGCGGGCAAGGCAGACAAGTCGGACATGATCCCGGTGTCAAGGGGGTCCTCGACACGCTCCCTGGCAGGAAGCCGCTCGCGAGGCCCGGGGGGGGGTCCACCTTAAAGCGAACCTCAGGACGGCGGGGCCGCGGATAACGCAGGGGGCGCCCAGGCAGTGCCCAGATCCAAGCCGAATGAGGGACGTTGGCGGCCTTATTCTTCACCGAGCGCGTGGAAGACGGTGCCCAGTGAAGGCGGCGCAAGGCCTAGTAGGGCCAGGGCGGCCGCGCGAGAGGAACCAGGAGGCGGGCGACCCTTGCAACGTGAGGGAGACGGACTCCAACGAGTACCCCGGGATCCTCGAGGCGGCCGCAGGCCAGAGGGGCACGCGACCTGTGCGATGAAGCTGGTCATGTGAGGGCACCGCGGGCCGACCGCCGAAGGGAGAGCGGCCGCCCCGCGGAGACAACCCCGCTCGGCGCGCCGCGGCGAGATCGCGCAGCGGCGCCCCGGCAGGACGGCGAGCAGGCAGCGGTCCGCGGGCGGCCCGGGAGGCGGCACCCACTGCGCACCGAGGTGCATCCGCGCCGGTGGCCCAGGCCTCCCCGCGCCAGAGGGGGGCCCCCTCCCGATCGTGCAGTCCTTCGGAAGCCCACGGCTACCTCGGTGCGCGAGGGCCCGCCCCCTTGGTGGGAGGGGAGGGGGGTCGAGCCCGCGGGCCCCCTCCTCACCGGGGCTGAAGAGAGGCCCTTGCGCCGCGTTCCCGCGCGTCCCTGGCTGCTGCGCGGGTGCGAGCGGCGCCCAGGGGGGACGACGTCGTAACAAAGATGGGTGCAGGGGGGGGGGGGGGAGAGGTCAGGGGGACCCAGGCACTCGCAGTGTCTGGGGTGGCTGGGGTCCCATCGCAGAGAGGGGTCATCAAATGCCTGGGAGTGGCTGGCGCCCTGCGCACGGGACCCCCGGCACCGCCACCCATAAAGGGGATCGCCGTCATTCGCTCTTCCCCTCTTACCGCTATCGCCAAGTCTTGCGGGATCATCGATGATGCGCCCCCTGTGCCAAAACGAAGGCGCAGCCTCTTCCCTGCCTGGTGTCTGGAGCTACTCGGGTTCAGACGCTCAGCCGTTCTTGGATAAACCGCCCACAACCACCCCGGGGAATTAATTTCCTGGGAGTGGCAGGCTCCGTGCTCACAGGGCCCCCGGCACTGCCATCCATAGAAGGGAGTCGCCGTCGTTTCGTGCTTCTCCTCTTACTGCCCTTGCACCGCCTTTTTGCTTGGTTGTTCTTCGAGGCGCCGTAGCATACTAATCTAAAATATCATAGTGCAGTTTTGCGCAGGGTGGTTGCTTAGCTTGCTTCGTTTTTGTTTTAGGGCCGTCGCTGTGGATCATCATGTTTTAGCGTTTTGGGCTTTCTGGTCGAAGGCTGTTCCTTGCCTGCCCCTCAGTATTCGCTCCCGCTGTCTCGTTTTTTGGTTGTCCGCCGATCTCCATCTTAGAGATATAAAAGCGCGCAAAAAAAAGTGCCTATGCCAATCCAATCACGGCCCGGGACAGGCCTGGAGGCCCGATGGCCCAAGGAGGGGCAAGCGGTCGTCGGGATTGGAGGTCCAACGCCCCAGTAAGCAGCGCAGCGAGGGCAAGAGCACAGCAAAACAATCAATAACATTTATCCCGGCGAAAAAAGCGCAACCATATGCAGTTGTGACTAACGCAGTTGTGAGTATCGCTTTCGATGGAGCTTTTCATGGGGCCATGAACCGTGCGAGGGATGTACCGACAGGGGCACGGTGGGAGCATGCGAGCGCGTGTGAGGGGTGTGCCGACATGGGCGCGGTGGCGCCATGCGGTCGCAGCCACTGGGATATTCGGTGGAGCTCCCTCTTGGGCCCCGAAACGTGTGAGGGGTGTGCCGAAATGGGCGCGGTGGCGCCATGCGAGCGCAGCCATGGGGACCCCCAGTGGAGCTCATTTTGGGCCACGAAACGTGTGAGGGTGTGCCGAAGTGGGTGCGGTGGTGTCGTGCGAGCCCAGCCACTTGGGTCTCCGGTGGAGCTGTGGATCTCCTTATTGGGGCCACGACAAGTGTGAAGGGTCCCGAAGTGGGTGCGGTGGCGCCATGCGATCGCAACTACGGGGGCCCTCGGTGGAGCTCCGTATGGGGCCACGAAGCGTGTGAGGGGTGTGCCGACATGGGTGCGGTAGCGCCATGCGAAACCAGCCGTCAGGGCCGTCGGTGGAGCTCCCCATGGGGCCGCGAGACGTGTAAGAGGTGTTTCGAAATTTGTGCGGTGGTCCCATGCGAACGCAGGCATTCGGACTTTCCAGAAAGAGGACCCAACACCACAGGATGGCTGGGAGTGACAACTAGCATAAATAGGACGGACTGCGCGCGAGGAGAGGGATTTGAAGACGTCATAGACGACAATGTCAAACAATGCAACCAATTAGTACGAAGCAGCTCTGAATCCTTGAATTCGCGTGCTGGGTGTTTGTGTTGGCGTAAAAACCCTGAACAATGATTCCCGCCACTCCGAGTGTATAGGAGCGCTTCCTGAGAACAAACTTGAACATGTTCATCAATAGCTAAGCTTTCAGGGCTCAACGAGAATCCAATAACATACCAACATAAACTCTTTGTTGCCCCCCAGAGAAGAAAAACGCCGAGGCTTACCTGAACAGCCCGATGTGGGACTACCACAAGATCCGGGAGGCCAACTACAGCCCTTGGGGCGTCCGCGAGACCGCCGCCAGTGGCTTGCTCTGGGCGCCCGAGTTCGGCAAGGAGCCCCGGCGGGAATCTTCCCCGTCCTCCTTCTCCTGTTCCTTTTCTTACCTTTCTTCCCTTCTCCTTCCTCCCCCTCCTCGTCCTCGTCCTCCTCCTCTTCGTCTCCCCTTCCCATCCTCCCTATCTCCTGTCCTCCTCCTTCTCCTCCTCCCCCCCCTCCTCCCCCGTTCCTCCTCCTCTTCTTCCACCTTCTCCTCCCTCTCTTTTTCATGGATTCGCTTGTCTCCCCCCTCCTTCCGTCCCTCCTCCCTCTCCTCGTTTGCCCACCTCTTCTCTTCTCGGCCCTGGGCGGGGATATGCCATGAATTGGGGCGGGGGGGACGCGTTGTGCCTCGTCCTTCTCGTCATGCTCAGGTCACCGGGTCGCTGCACCAGGATAAACGGGATTCACACGACGCGGCCAGCCTGGGCGAGAGCTGGGTACACACGTGGCCCGACGACTTCCCAGCGCTCGGTTCTTTGGCAGTGGCGGCCCATGCCAGAGCACCCTGGATGCCTCCAGGGTGCCCTGGGTTTCTTGGGGTGCGATGGTTCGGCGATGGAAGGCGCGACGTTCCCACACGAACAGAATGAAGGGACGTCCTGGGGTCTTGAGGAGGAGGAGGGAGGAGGAGGAGGAGGAGGAGGAGGAGGAGGAGGAGGAGGAGGAGGAGGAGGAGGAGGAGGAGGAGGCGGAGGCGGCGGCGGCGGCGGCGGAGGAGGAGGAGGAGGAGAGAGAAGGAGGAGAGGAGGAGGAGGAGGAGGAGGAGGAGGAGGAGGAGGGAGGAGGAGGAGGAGGAGGAGGAGGAGGATGCAGGAGCAGGAGAGAGGAGGAGGGAGGAGGAGGAGGAGGAGGAGGAGGAGGAGGAGGATTGGGTTTCTCCTGGCAGGCTTCTCGTGGTCGGGCCCCTGCTGTTCCCAGCGCGTGGCCTCCGGGCGCTCCGCACGTGGCCTTCGCCCGGTGGGCGACGTGTGCTCCGGCCTCTTGGCACCTCGCAGCACGTGCCCTCTCTCCAGACCCGCTCCCCGACCCTTCCTCCCGCCGTTCTCCCTCCGACCTCCTCCCTCCGCCTCCGGCCGAGCCGCCTCCCCCTCGGGAGCGCGGCGCCCGAGGTTCCGCAGGCGCGATGGGGAGTGGCGCAGCCCGCGGGACCGACGGCTTGGTGGGCCGTTCCTGCTGCCGCCTCTGCTTGACCGCGGTGTGCCCAGAAGCTGGAGAGCCGATGAAGCAGGACGTCCAGGCTGCGCCAGCCTGCAAGGCCACCGGCATGGTGAAGGGCGTGATCTCGCCTCGCTCTCTCTCAGCTGCGCGGATCTGGGCGGAGGTACGGGCTTCGTTGCAGTGACCGTGAACCTTGTCTGCATTGGTTCCCTTCTTTGTCAGACGGAGTTTGTCGGCGGTCTGGACTTTTTGGTTTTTGTAGCGTGTGGTTTGGTGATGTGGGTGTGGCCGGTGTGGGTGTGGGGGGGGGGGCTCTCATGGGTGCTTTCCCTGGGCTCGGCCTCCCCTGCGCTCGGCGAGAGGCGGGTTCCCAGGGGGCGCGTGTGGCGCGGCCACTGTGCCCTCTGGCGCCAGGGGGGGTCCGCCCCCCCCCCCCCCCCCCTTCGCGGGCAGCGAGGGGGCAGGCGCCAATTCCCATTGCCCATTGCCCAATCTCAAACCTTCTCCTCCTCCTCCTCCCCTCCTCCTCCTCCTCCTCCTCCTCTCCTCTCTCCTCTCCTCTCCTCTCCTCTCCTCTCCTCTCCTCTCCTCTCCTCTCCTCTCCTCTCCTCTCCCCTCCCCTCCTCTCCTCTCCTCTCCTCTCCTCTCCTCCTCTCCCTGCTCCTCCTCCTCTTCCTCCTCCTCCTCGAAGCCCCTTTTCATCGAGAGATTGTCCGAGGGGGGTTCTCCGCGCGCGACCCGAAGTATATCGTTTGCCGCCGCCCATGGGCATATTTTCTGTGGTTCAGCGGGAGGGGTGGTGATGTCTTTTTCTGAGGGTCTTTGGATTCAATCCCATCTGGAGAGCGCCTTCCTGAACTCCTGGGAGGGACAAGGAACTGTGATCTGGTTCTTCTAGCAGGTACACAGCAGGTTGAACACAACGCACTCGCTCCACACGTTCAGAGTAAACGTTGTGCAGGGAGAATGTGCATTTCGGCCCCGTACTTCCCGTCGCCGCTCAACCATCATAGTTGTGGCTGCTCTCTCGCATCCTGCCCCCAGGTGAGTGCCCGACACCTTCTACGAACATGGGCGCCCCCGCCCGAGGCTAGGGGCAGAGCGGTCGCAGCGAGAGTGAAGTACGGAGCGGTAGCTATGTGCGGCGTTGTGTGTTATTTCCCACCCCCCGTCCGAAGTGTCGGGCCGAACACGGAGGGTATTTCAAAACTGTCTCAATACTTATTCTATGGCTGGCAGCAGTACTTCTTCCCTCCCTGTTCGATGTGCCCTGATCGTGTGCTTCGGTTTGAACGACGGGATCGGCGAATTTCGATCGGATGGGGCGTGGGCATCAGTCGATCCCCAAACGGTTGGCATACCGAACAGAGAAATGTATGCGAATCGTGCAGGACACCGTATGGGCATGCTGATGGAGACCCACGAGCTCGTGGCGGCGAACACCTTCGGCTCAGAGCTTGAATCTACGTTATTCGGCACGACAGGGCATTCGAGAATTGGCTATCTTTTCCCCCCTCAAGCAATGCACGATTCAGTGGTCACGTGCAGGGCTCACTACAGGCTGGGCTCGAAGATGCAGGCCATCAGAGGAGTGTTTCCGAAGGATGAAATTCCGCTGTTGGGATTTTTACGCTATAAGAAGCATGGTGGCGCAGCTGCTGACACACGACACAGAGGAGTGGGATGTGGACCGCCTGATGCTGTCACTGCGGGAAAATCGGGGCCGCGCAGAGTTTCCGTCAACATTGAAGGCGCGGCTTGATTCATTACATATGCAGTGGTTTCGCGACAGTGCTTCTCCGCATGAAATATTTGAGGTGCTAGAACGAATTTTAGAGGAGTCTGATCAGGCCTGTTTTTTTTCGCGTGCTCGTGAATTAAGACCAGAGTGCTCAACGGACTGCGCGCGACGACGTAGTCAGCTGGCACAACGAGTCGAGCTTCGGAGAGGTAAGTATAACGCCTTCCCCGAGGAGGCCCTTCGCATCGATCAGGAGTTGAAAGAATGGGCGTGCCATTTTTTGTTTGATCGACGCCGATCACCCAGACAGCTTCGAACCCAGCTTGCCTCCGAAACAGTGGAGCTCTGGCACAAGGGGCGCACGGCAGAAGGAGCGCGACCGGCCCACCACGCTGCCCGTACTCGCTGCGGGCCAAAGCGCCAAGACGGCCGACTGGTACGCTGCGCCCCCCCTTGTCGCGAAGCTTGGCTAGCAGTGCGGGGCAAGCCCGGGGCAGAAGGAGGCGCGGATGTGGTCGAAGAATCCTGGGACAACCGGAGGGGCTCACGGGTGGATACAGGGGCTTGCTATTCCGACGTGTCTATGGAGGAGATGCTAGAACTGGTCACAGAAGATGCGCAAACCATTCGGAAGTATGCTCGGTGGGCCCCCATAAGAAAATCAGTGCCCGCTGGAACCGCGCCGCTTGAGATCTGGCATCAGTGTGCGCGTGGCCAAAGTATCGTATTCGTGGGCGGGCTGGACTAGGATCGGAGACTAAGTTGATATCGCCGCAAGGGTGATGGTTTCTTCTCGGCCTGGGTCTAGCTGAGATGAGGGAATATCAGGAGGTGCCGCTTTAATGGGACAAGTCCTGGGGTGCGAGCATGCCCCCAGAAGCTGGGGGAGGGCTCCAAGGGGGTTCGAGCGGTTCATGTTCTACCGTTCGCGGGCAGAGTTTTTTCTCCAATGAGCTAACAGTTCAACCGACGGTGGCCGATCATGGGTTTGTAAAACATCGACGTCGGGAAGATGGCGTTTTAACTACGTTAACTACAGGATGGAGGGCTAAAAGGATGGGCGTTACATATTGCAACACGTTCAAGGACATGAGCCGTGCTTTTGCAAGTTCGACGCGGTCTGAGTTGGACCCGGCAGTTTCTCTTGCGGCAGCTGGGCATGACCGAGCAGTTTCTCGTCAGCGCTACCGCGCGGCCATTATCGAGCTCGACGCACAAGAGGGGCCCCATCTCGCGCGACCAAGGCGTGGAGGACCCATGGGGGGCCCATTTACAGCCCAGGGTGTCATGGGCACCTTCTCGAGAGCAGTGCGAGGTTGGAGCTACTCACTTCTGCGTGCCGATGTGAAATCACGGAATCTCAGGGCCGATTTGAGTTTAACAGAGTGTGCAGACGACCCTCATAATTTGGCATTGGCTGACGAGGGCAGTGGACCACGTGATTTTCAAGACAAGCTGGGGGGGGGGGAATGGGCGGTCTGCTAGATGAGGCTCTCGAACCATACGGGCATGGGCAAAATATTAGCAAGCAGGAGATGTCATTCGATTTCGCACATCGCGTTCACCACGCACGCCGCACGCTCAGGGCAATTCGATCAACGATCCAGGGGGCGATGCCCGACAGTTTTCGATCTTTGGCCTTTCCTGAAGTCTCGGGGCGCAGCGCGTGACGCGGTTTCTTGATGTTGCGAGATGGCAAGATGAGTTGTTTTACCGACTGGGTGGGGCATGGTCCTACATGTGGCGCCGCGCTTCATTGCAGGGCAAGGCGCGCAACCTTTCAATCAATGAGCTCGAACCGTTTGTCCTCCAACAGAGCGGCTCTGACAGTTTATCGGTGTTTGGCCGCTCTGTGTCGCGGTGCTGCGAGTGGCGCAGCCACCGACCGACGAGACGACGGCACAGTGCGCTCTCTCAACAATTTGCAGGTCCTGCGCCGGCAGCGTCTGACAGGCCGCAAGATCGAACACACCATTCGACGTCTGGAGATTTACCGGTCGCGGGCCCTGCGCCCCGCTTGGCACGCTCAGCCTCTCTGCGCGATGTTCGGCGCGCTCGTTATCGAAGAGAGGCTTGGGCATGAGCCTCAGCTGCAGGAGGGAATTCCGACGGCCC